ATGTTCGGATTTCAAACCGCGGAATAAACAGTTCGTACCAGGTTTGTTCGCGTTGCTTGTATTTTTGGCACTTGGCATCTTCGTTTTCTCTCTTTTTTTTCTTCAAATATATATTTTATCTCATTTTAAGTGAACATTTTAACAAAAATATTTGGGGATTTCATGCAACGCTCGAACAACTATTACTACTACAACAACTACATTCTACTATTCGTAGGATAGTCGTCCACTTTTTGGCGGTCTCGCAGTTTCATGAAGGTATTGTGTATTGTTGTGTGATTTTTTAAATTTCTGTACACATGTGATGTATTCATCAAAGGATCATAAATGTACAGTTTCGGCATGCGATCACGGAAGAATTCGAGTTTCGTGAACCTAAGTGGTATCTCTGATACACGGAAAACTCACGGAGTCGATGGAGCTCGATCAGCTGGAGCAGTCCGCAAACCAATTAAATGCGGTGCTTAACGAGTTCCCGATCGCCGCAGTCTCGCTGGACGATTTTAGACCAATTGAAGAAAAGGTCCATACGACCAGGAAGTCGCTGATGCCCCTGAACGCCAGGTTATTAATGCTTAAAGCAAAGTACAAACGTACGTCATTGACGCGTCGGTTTGCACAGTTTTCTTGACTTTAAAATATTATTCTGGAATCACTTACGTTTTATGTTGCAGAGTACGATGATAGACGCAGTGAGAGTGAGGATGAGGTCGGAGACACGCTGCAGAATGTCGTAAGTGACACGCTCCTAAATGCCAAGGCTGTCAAGTTGTGCCTTCATAGTACCACTATTCTTTCAATGCTTAGTAATAAGGAAGGTACTGCAGAGGACGAAAAGTGAGAAATAAATTTTTGTAAATGTTATTGATTTAAGAGTACGATCAACATAATGTTATACATGCTTTGAGTCATAAAATTCTTTTTGTAATTGGTAATCAATCTTTTTGTAATCAATCAAATGCTTTAAAATATTTACAGTAAGATTTTGACCTTTAGATATGAATCGAAATGCCACATGTAAAGAGATATGATGAAATAATTTTACTCTCTCTTATTTTCAGAAAGCTCAACACCTACATGAGTAAACTCTTCACTCTCAATGACAATATTATGGCCACTCAGGAAGCTATCGAGAAAGCGTCCCAAGTACAGTTGAATCTGAAAATCGAATGTCAGAAGGCAGTATTCGAATATACAAAGTTTCTCAAAGAACAAGAGCAGATGCGAAGCGAAAGATTGCAGAAGACAAATCCTGAGATCGTACGGTGAGTAAAAATCCGCGAAATTCGTGTCTTATGAAATATTTTCGTATTTAAAATCTTTATTTTCCTTTTCAGAACTAAAAACAAACTGGAAAAGTATATACGAAATATAAACATAATAAAGAAACTCATTAGAAACTTCATAGCAGTGTCCAGTCACATGCTAGAAGAGAAGCCAATACTGCTGAAGATGTTGGAGAATCACAGAGAATTGATAAACATCGAAACGATTATAAAAATGTCGCAAAGTAACGAAGAGAATGAATAAAAGAAACTTTAAGGAGGAAGTACGCAGGAACTTTCATTAAGAACTTTTTTCTCAATTTCTTACTGGCTAAGCGCAATAGACACAACACATATTTACAAGAATAAGCTTCCACGCAAGTCCAATGTCTTTCTTATTTCTTTTCCCTCATTCTTTTGTTTTTGTTTGTTTGTTTAGTTCTTCTATTAAAGCGCCTTGCCAGACGGTTTCGTATAATCATTGAACAAAGCATAATCGGTATTGTAATATAAGTTAAAAATTATATGATAGCAATCACAGCTTACGTATGTATAGTAAAATCTTCACTATAGGGGGAGAGAGATATACATATCCATTTCGTTAGAATCGATACAATTGAGAGACTTTCGTTTTTTCGCGTATAATTATAATTCGCGTTATATTATTATATAATAATAATAATCACTGCAATGTTAAAATGCAAATGTAAGACAATCGGTTTCTTTTTTCATGGTCCGATGTATATAATATATCATTCAGTCTCGTTATATAATGTCTATTTTTTTATGTAAACCACTCTCCTCGCTTCCACAATCACACACCCATATGCACATATATATGGGCGTGTGTAAACACATAATTCTCACTATGATAGTACTAAAACAATTTAATCGCTATATACAAGTTTGCTTGGTTTCAAATATATCAGTTCGAAAGGCGAGTGGAAAGAAAACGAATCCACTTGAAGGGAGCGGCGTTGAATTTCGTCAAAAACATGATATTGACGGATCCAGGATACAGATCAATTTTTTATACTGTTCGATGAAAAATCGCGGAGTAACGCAATTTTACAGACAATGTGCAGAGTATTTCAACAAATCCGCACCTATACAAATATCGTCGTTTCATTCTCGTTAACTTTCTTGTAAAGAACACATTTGTTCTCAATGACACACATGTCAATTATGTAATAAAAAGAAAATTATAAGGATGCTCTGTCTTTCGCATAGTATCGTAATAAAAAATTGCATTTTTACTACGATATATTACTATATAAACAGATCGAAATAAACGCACGCTTTACGCGTTACGTTTAATTTATCTTTCTTCCTTAATTTTTTTTCTCTTTGTGTCTGCAGAAACGACAGTTTACGACACAAATCCACACGCACGATCGTTCCTCTGTATAATTATAAATGTCAATTACGTCTCGTAAATCTCGCGTTGTAACAAAATATCGAACACGGACACGTGTTCGCACACCCACACGCGTGAACTACCGATCTCATAAAAACGGCGATTTCTTATTATCGTAGCAATCAGCGATTTTATTGTTCAACAATTCGTCCATTAAAACAGTACGAACATATAGTAAGTCAAAAAATGTATACACATAAGCCTCACTATGAAGAAACTATAGTGCTGATTAAATTAATCTCAGGGATCTCTCATCAACATTTCTCCAACATCGTCGAATCGACGTATTAATGCAATTAAACGATCACAACACACGAGGGGAAACGCACTATCATCCAATCTCTCTTTCTCTCGAAATTACGCTACGTAACAAGATAATTAATTACGCAACCTCATTTTTTTCCACAGATACGCACGACCACAATTATCGCTGTATATATGCTGCTCTTCGACCATGGAATGAAAAATACCGAGGATATATCGATCCTGGCCCCAATCTCTCTATTCGTACCAATTTACAAATATACAAAAAAGAAGAAAAAGAAAAGTATCTCTTGAGCGGAGATGGTCTCTCTCTCTCATTTTGGATTACAACATGCCTTAATTCCCATGTATGCAACAATCGCTCTTCTTTCCATGCAAGATACGTATCTAGGGGAACTGGAAAAATGTATAAGTTTTGTGTATATATGTCGTGTAAATTGTGTGTGTGTGTGTGTGTGTGTGTGTGTGTGTGTGTGCTACAATATCCGAGGAGACCAGGATTTGCTCACAACCATACTTAACCAGCAGTCAGTCGTGTTATATTAAAAATCGTGACTTTGCGCGCGCGTGCGCTTTGAAAAATCGGCTAGAAAACTACGGGCTAAACATCCTTACGCAACGTGGTTGCACAGTGGGATTTATTATAATTACGCCAACACGGATTCCCCGGTGGCAGGACAGTGACATAAATATCAGAGACTTTTTTTCTCTTTTTCCTTTATGTGCGCCTACATGGACCTCTCGCGCACGCACGCACGTGCTCTCCTCATCTGATCAGAAATCATCTGATTGAAACTTACAATCGTATGTGCCGCTCGCTATTGGATTTATCGCGCGAACAAATTTTATTCGCAAGGACGATTCGCGTAAGCACACGTGATCCGCGTACACAACAATTGCGGTCTAGCGTTTTATGTACAAGTATGGGAATACGGCGGATACGACTCACGCGAAGCCGCGCCGGGAGGAAACGTCCCGGACGTAAGTCTCTTCTCAACGATTCGTTCTCTTTCCACGCACGCGGATATCATCCAGCGTCAGGCATTCATCGGATCACTCATTCACTTTCTGCGTTCGCTGATATAAATGTAGAACGACTGATTGTTTCGACGGTCGCTTGCCAATTGCGTTTCAAGCTTATAAAAGAAAGGAACGATGCTCTCGCGGTGTGTCGACAGTAGGAAGATACAGTTAATGAAAGGGAGAAAAAGAGAGGGAGAGAGAGAGAAAGATGAAATTCATAGAGTAAGCTTATTATATCTCTATGTTTTTAAGCGTA